TGATGGTGGTGATGGTGGTGGTGGTGATGATGGTGATGGTGGTGATGGTGATGATGTTGATGGTGGTGGTGATGGTGGTGGTGGTGATGGTGGTGATGGTGATGGTGGTGGTGATGGTGGTGATGGTGGTGGTGATGGTGGTGATGGTGATGGTGGTGATGGTGGTGATGGTGGTGATGGTGATGCCTGTTTAAAGGGCATAGGTTTATAAATCCTGTGTCAATTCAGAAAAACAAGACCACACAGTCTTCTTCACAAGGCCTCAGACATGACCAACCTGCTATTCAGACGGCGTCTGAGATGCCAAGGCACTCAATTTTATTTAAATTCAGTGTCAGCCAGTGTCCAGATGGCGCGTTTCCCACAGCCACACCCACAGAGCAGTGGCCTGCAAGAGACCCTCAAAAGAAAGAGACCCGTGGCCACACCGTTTGGGGGGCTCTCATACTGTTTCTTCATCTGATCTGTTCAAATGGAAATGAGCCCTTCACAGGCTTGGGGGAGGATTCAGGAGCCTGGTTGATGGGGAGAACTCAGGGGTCCGGTTGATGGGGAGAACTCAGGGGTCCGGTTGATGAAGGAGGACTCGGGGGTCTGGTTCATGCGGGAGGACTTGGGGGTCCGGTTGATGGAGGAGGACTCGGAGGCCTAGTGGATGGAGGAGGACTCAGGGGTCTGGTTGATGACAGAGGACTCGGGGACCTAGTTGTTTGGGGAGGACTTGGGGGCCTGATTAACTTGCTTTAACTCTCTTTTCAAAGCGTGCTTGGTGAAAGAGGTCATTCCATGGACTTAAAACACATTTGAGGAACTGATTTTATGTCCAGGATTTGAGTTCAGTGACATCTTCTCCATTCCAGATGAAAACATTCAGGTTCTTTTTTCCACTCAAAAGAGATGGCCTTACTTTATTGCTCTTCCTTTAATCAAAATATAAAATGCTTGGGAAGTGTGAGTTGCAGGGAGTCAGAATGTTCTAGAAAATGGCCCCTTCCATTCTTCACCTCTTGCCCAGTCCATGTAAGCATTTATCAGGAAAGTGTCTCATGAGGCTAACACTCTTCATGATGGGTCACATCTTGTCCTTTGATCATTGGATTGGCCAAGTCCTCATTGGCAGGCTGTCCGCCATGTTGGAGGATGGGGCCATGGGTGGGTTTTGCAGTGGAGCTGTGCTGGGTGCTCAGATGAGCCCCAGGATGGGCCTGCTGCCTAGGACACTCACCAGTTCTCAGGAGACTCTGGCCCTTCCTGGCACACAGGGGGTCACCACTCCTCTGATACCTTCCCATGGCTCATCAGTTCTTACCTCAGAAATACCATGGCTGTGCCTAATCACAGAACAGTATTTGCCAGGAAGAAAATCACATTGTTTAAAAGGCATGATTTAGAGGTGTGTGTGTGTGACAGTCTGAGATCTAAAAGGAGACTTATTTATGCAAGGTCAGCGTGGACGTTGAAGATGATAAACACTTGTATTCTGTTGAATCCAGAACTCAAACTGGAGAAAAAAGTCAAGATACGAGTGGAACCTGGACTGTTTGAATGGACAAAATGGGAATCTGGCAAAACCACCCCAACCCTCATGAGCCTGGATGAGCTGAGAGAGGCAAATTTCAACATTGACACTGATTACAGGTGTGCTGTTCTAAAGTTCTCTGCCACTGGGGCTTTTCTAGTTCTTGTTAAGGAAAAATTTCATGACACTGTTAAAATGGTAAGAAAGACTTTATTCAAGGGGGGCCACTGCAGTGGGGTTTGCAGCAGGGGACAGAGAGGGGGCTCAACTCCTAATACAAGGAAAAGCGGGGATTTATAGCCACAGAGCAGGGTAGGAGTTGGCGCCTGGAAAATTCCTGAGAAGGTGGGTCATTCTTGCTAAACTGACACAAACAGGGACTCCTGCTGAAGGCAGGCCAAGGTGATCAGACATCACTTGGAGGGTGGTAGAGGACAAGGAACTTGACCAGAGACTGAGGGTAACAGTTTCTTGCTAAACTCACTCTGGAAGAACAGACACAGAAGCCCAAGGGTCAAGCCTGCATCGAGAAGAAGGTTCAGGGGAGCTGGACTGGAGTTTGGTCAAAGAGAGTCTTTGTCATTCTCCACCCATGTTGGACTCTGCCATCACAGAGCCCTCCTGGTGTTCACTAAGAATGTGCTGGAGACTGACTATTAGTGCTTTGACAGTTTTCAGCACAAAACTAGAGCCTCCCTGTTGCCCATGAGCCCAGCCTTGAGGCAGAGCCATCCCAGAAGAGCATTTTCCTTCCCTAGCTAACTGCAGCTGCGCCCTCCTAATCCATACCAAAGGGCCAGGGCAGCAGCCTCCCCCCTCCTCCTTCCAGGCCCGCGTTTCCCCTGTCTGCCCTCATGCCGGCCGAGAGCTACCAGGAGTACGTGGACAGGTGCACAGCGAGTGTGCTGCAGATCGTCAACACCCAACTGCAGGACAGTAAGTGCCTCACCACCCTGGGCATGGACAGCCCCTGGGGCTTGGGGAATTCTCTCTGAGACGGAAATTGGCTGATTTTCTGAACCTATGAATGCCTTCACTTCCCCCGCCCCCGCATTCTCCAGCAACAAAGCGTTCATTGCTGCTGCTGCCGCTGCTGCAGTAACCGGGTGCATAGACACGTGCTCCCCTGCCGCCCAGGCCCCGGGACCCCTCATCCCGGGACTGACTGCTGATGGGCTGATGGGACCCAGGCCAGCAGGGTCAGCACAAACCGCCCGTGTCCAAGGGATTCGAGTCAGCTTCCTGGGAAACAAGAGAGACAGAGAGGAGAAACAACCAGCTTCTGGGTGGAGCCCCTTCCTGACCCACCACGCGGGTCTCCTAGCCCTCCGGCTTGCTTTGTCCTGGATGAAGCGCACGCAGAAGCGCTGGCTTCCTGCACCTTCCCCCGAGCTGGCGGAGACACGAATCTCACCTGAAGGAGCCCCTTCCTCCTGTGGTCTCCGGGTGTTCTGATCTAAAGCAGGAGTCATAGCAGGCTCCTGTAATGAAACAACCAGCTGACCATTCTAAAGTGAATCAGGTCAGGCCTGGGCAGCAGCCACTGCTGCCCCATCCCAGACGGGGCCCAGACGGGGCCCAGGCAGCCGGCCACCACAGGGAGGGGTGGCTCAGTTCACTTCCTAGGCCTCCCTGAGGCGGGCGGGCAGCTGCGGCATGCAAAGGAATCCACAAGGCGAGGGTGGGATGCAGGCGTCACTAAACCATTACCAGCCACACTACCTCCTAGCCCAGGGGTCTCTCCAGGGCACTCTGGGTAGACTTTGGGGTCCCCAAAGTGTTTGGGGCACTCTGAGGTAGCTCTGCCCCAAACACTTTGGGGACCCCGGTCTCATAACAGGTGCTCTCTGGGCCTGCTTTGACCTGGAGGTGTTCTTGTTTTCCACAGCAGGCGTCATCCTAATTGTGAGTCACGGCTCCGCGCTGGATTCCTGCACGCGGCCGCTGCTGGGGCTGCCGCCCCGGGAGTGCGGGGATTTTGCCCAGCTCGTGAGAAAGGTACGTGCCCACTCTTGGCTCTTAGAGTCACGAAGTCAAGTACCCCAAAGACACGGGTTATCACACCCCCTTCTCGGAATGAAAACAAGTGTCTGGCTGACCCAGGGCCACCAGGATCCATGTGCCCCTGGAGATGGTGCCCTCCTGCTCCTGTGCAAAGGGCGACTTCGGGCTGGGGCTGGTGGATAGGTGAGTATCCTCGTCATCACTGGTCACTTGCCGAGTTTTTACCAGTCAGCTCACCCCGTCACCCCTTGCAGCTCTCGTAGAAAAATGGACAGTCCAGAAAGGAGTGAGCAGTTTGGATGAGGAGAGAAGACATGCCTGCAGGACTCGCCCTGGCCTCCTCTGGGGACCTGGGCTAGGGCGGCTGACGGACGAGGAGCCCCTCGGTCCTCTTGCTCTTGCAGTCACCCAGCACAGAATAAGCTTGATCTGGCTGTAGCTGCCAGAGTGTTCAGGCACTGGCCAGGGCCTTGTGAATGACAAACAGAGGATGATGCACACATGGCGTCTTGGACAACCTTGATTATCACCCAGCAAAGTGAGGGGGTGCCGTCCAGTCCATGGGTGAACTGAGGCAGGCAAACTCAGGAGCGCAATCCGCCCCGCCGGCCCTGGCCCCTTCTGTGCAGAACTACTCAAGGCTGGACTCACCATGGTCCGGACCTTTTAATCAAATTAGTCAGGCCACTGGTCAGTGCCCAGGTGGCAAGCGCAGCATAGACAGTGCCTGGCGTCGGAGGTGTTGGAGGCCCTGACCTGGTTTCTTCACACAGCACTGCCACAGGTCCACACTGGCCTCAGCTTGTTTGCCCTAAGTTGTGGGCAGAAGGGGGTGTTGCTGAGTCCCCCAAGAGGTCTAGGGTCTTCAGAAGAGCCCAACTCCCAGGCCCAGCCCAGTGACGCCACCCAGGTGCCTGCAGGAGGGCTTGGCCCTCTAGCTATGCCTGCCTCAGCAGCCGGGCGAGAACTTATGCACACGAAGAGCACGCCTGTCACAGGTCATTGTCACTTGGCAATTAGGGGTCAGACACCCGCGCCCCCTTTCTTGTTCCATTGTCCTTGGCACCTGAGTAGAAGCATGCGTCCCCTGCGACGCGTCTTCAGGCTGGTGCCTCCCAGTTAGGATCCAGATGGTCCCAAGTGCTCTGGGTTCCTGAGCCACCAGGTGAGCATCGTCCAAATAGGACAGCTCAGCCCTCCACACCACACTGGTAGAGGCCTGCATGGATTTTCCTGAGGACTGTCGGGGCAGCTCCGGCACCACCTGCTCCCAAAATGTTGCTCTTGCTTCTGCCAATGGGTCTCCCACACACATGCTCTGACGCATCCCTCCTGTCCCTGCACCCCTTCTTACAGCCCTATACAGACACTAGGCACCCAGCCCCAGGCGCACCTGAGGGTCCGTGTAACCCACAAGGGTGGCATCACTGCACACACCAGCCACTGACAGTTCCCCGAACCCATGAGCCTTTGTGGCCAAGGCTCCACCCACTCCTTGGATCCTTCACCTCCTTCCATAGATGCCAGCCTTGAACTTCCAAACCACTGGACTCTCTTATACTGATCACGTAGCTTTCACCACACCAATGGCCCCCACCCCAAAATAAGCTGGACTTGCTCATGCATATCAGAAAACACAAAGGGGGACTCGCCAAATGATGGGCCTCCAAATAGAGGCAGCTGGACCCTCCCCAGCCAGCCCATCACCACCCACCCGCCACAGCCCCTACAAGCACAAGGAGAGAATCGCCCTAGAGTCAACACCCGCTTCACTTGCATCCCCTGGCAAGTTGGCATTTTTGTAAATTTCATCTGCCTGAGGAATTTCTAGACATTAGAAAGAGGAAGGAAAGAAAGAAAAGAAAAAGACAAAAACAAAAAAGGCTTCGCCACAAAGCTCTGTTCCCACACATCCATTTCACAGATGAAGGGATTGAGGTGTAAAGGTTCACTTGGTGCTTTCCTCTTGGGTCTGAAAACTCAAAGTCTGCGTCTTTTTGTGATGTTGAACGTGAGAATATGAGTCACTCCTTAAGTGGTGGGCGGCAATCTCCACCTCAGCCTGCACACCTTTGTGGTGGGGGCCTTTCTACCCATCATAGAACGTGCCACCTTGTAGGACCTCTACCTGCTAGGTGTCGGCACCACCTCCATTCTCAGTTGTGACAATCAAAAATGTCTCCAGAATTATCCAGTGTCCCCTGGTTAGGGGACATCCCCCACAGGGCACCGCCCTGGTAGGCATTGGTGCCGTTTGATAGTGGCAGTGCCAGCCTGGACAGTCACAGACCCTCCAAGGCAGAGGAGCGCCTGACAGTTGGCTTTGGAGCTAGTCTGAAATCCACTGACTTGTTATAAGATATTAACAAGTGATTTAAAACTCTGTTCTAGATCCCTTCCCTGGGCATGTGCTTCTGTGAAGAAAATAAAGAGGAAGGAAAATGGGAGTTGGTCAACCCACCAGTGAAGACCCTGACCCACGGGGCGAACGCAGCATTTAACTGGAGGAACTGGATCTCAGGCAACTGAGAGCCACGGTGGTGTTCTCATCACCTCAGAGTGGAGAGGCAGAAACCACGTGCAGAGGCTGGGAGACGCTGCTCTTTCCAAGGTGTCTCAGTCTCACCCAGTGTGATTTGTAGAAGCACAGGGCGCACTTTTATGTTCCGGAATATTTCCCGCCGGCTTTCACCTGTGTGACTCCCATCCATGGACCCGTCATCCACCAGACCAGCTGTGGAGGGCCCAGGGCAGATGGCTGGGTGAGGACGCCGCCCTGTGGCAGGTGCACCTAGTGTCTGCAGCCGGGGAAACAACCACCTGGGACTCTAACTTCCAGGAGCTAAAGACTCACCACACACGAAAGATCCAGCCCCTTCATTTTCTATGGTCTGATCACTAAATTCCCAATCATCTTTTCTTTTTCTATTCCCAACACTATTTAGCCATATCCACATAGGCTAAAACAGGTGTAATCGTCAATAAAATGGTCCCAGAAAACCGTCTACCAGATCAAAGCTGGGCTGCTGCTCTGTGCTGTCAACACTCATGTTACTGTGTCTCTGTTGCTGCTGTAACCAGTGACCACAAACCTGGTGGTCATGGAAAGAACACAAACTTTACACACACACATGCACATCCACACACACGCATGCATACAAACAAGTGCACGTGCACACACGTGCATGCACACGCATGCAAACACATGCACATACGCATGTTGCACACGCACACAGGTACACAAACATGCACATAAACACATACACACAAGCATGTGCATGCACACACATGCAAACATATACACAAATGCACACACACATGCACATGCACATATATACATGTGTACATGCACACAGGCACACAAACATGCACATGAACACACACATGCTCACATGCATGCACACACATGCATGCATACACAGGTGCATGCACACACATGGAAACATGCATATACACATGCATGTGCACAAGCACATGCACACTTACACATGAGCACATGCATGCAGGTACACAAATATACACACACACAGAAACACGTGCATACACACATGCACACATGCAGACAGACATGCACACAAACACATGCACGCACTTGCACACAAAGACACATGCACACAAGGGCACACGCACGCTCACATGCACACACACGCTTACTCTCCTACAGTTCTGGAGGTAGGATTTTGTTGGCAGGCTACGTTCCTTCTGGAGGCCCCCAGGGAGGATGCTTTCCTTGCCCATTTTCACTCTTAGAGGCCACCTGCATCCTCCCTCCTCAAGGACAGCAGCGTAGCAGCCTCTAAGCTGTCTGTCTCTGCCTCCACAGCCACATCGCCTCCTGCTCCTGACGCTCCTGCCTCCCTCCTACAAGGGCCCTTGTGGTGACATTGGGCCCACCCAATAACCCAGGATCAATTTTCATCTCAAGAGCCTTCACCACACTTGTAAAGTCCCTTTTGCCACATAGAGTTACATATTCCCAGGTTCCAGGGATTAGGACATGACCATCTTTGGGGGTCATCCCATAGCCTGCCATAACATACCCCAATCCTTCCAAGCACAGCGGAGCTGCTCATACAGGGCCTCGGATGTAGGGATTTGAGACACTCCCGTGGCAGGCCTTTTTTGGCTTCTCCGATTCTTGTTTCTGATCATGTAGAGGTGAGAAGAGGACTTTGCCAGTGGGAGAAGTGGCTCCCCTGATTTAATGGCGACCCAGAAGAAGGGCCACCAGCAAAATGGAGTCTGCCCACGATGGTGATGCTGAGGAAGCTGGTCCGGCCGGGGATGGGGTCCCCAGTGGGGAGTCTCCTGCCCCAGCCCACGGGTCACACCTGCTCCCAGAGGCCACACGTGTAGTGGCTCATGCTGCAGGCAGAAATCCCACCATGGTGCCGTGACAGTCTGTCGGCCTTGCATCTTTTCCAGCCCCCTGATCCAGTGCAGATGTTATTTCACTGCTGTAGTTTGGGGCTGCAGTGGTGGCTCTGTGAGTGACTTTTATAGAGTGAATGCAGGGGCCGGGCAGCGAGGGCCCACACGGCACCCTCAGCCTCCCCCGTGAGCACCCAGGCAAGCAGAGGGCAGAAAGCAAAGGGAACTCTTGCAGAAATAAAGATTGTTAACACCCTGGGCTGCATCAGAACCAGCCCATGTCAAGTAGGACGCACAGGAGGCCAGACCCAGCAAAAGGTTCTCCCAGTTTTAGTCAATCAAACATGACCTCCTGAGAAAAAGACACATCTGTCTGTCCTTGTTGTATTTCGCTAGTGATATAGTTTTTCTGTGTCCAAACATCAAGAAGTTTGAGGTTGGCATAGCTGCAACGAGCAAGCACAGCGTGCACCACACTCCCAGCCCTGCTCCGAGTCCAGCCCACACCACGATGAGATCGTTCTAGATGCATCCCAGCGGATACTGACTAGAAAAGCTGTGGATTCACTGGGACGCAGGCAGACGGGAAGTACATCCTGCAGAGAATACGCCCCACTGCTAGGCACCTGGGCACCTGTTCTTTCTCCTCGGCAAGCGTGTGGTTGGGAACAAGTCTCTCCTAGACACCACAGCGCCACACTCAATAGTCATGATGATGAATTAAAGTGTTGCCAATCAAAGTGTGGCATTGAAATCACAGTTGTGATTCGGTGGTTGTAACGCGTCTCTGGATTCACCTTCTCGGGGTGAAGCTTCCAGGGCTCCTACCCTGAGCAAAGCCAGACATGGGTAATTCTCCTCTCATCCTGCTGGGATGCTCACAGGTTTTGCAAGGAGAATTAGACGGGCTTGAAACTCAGATCTCCAGGCCTAGCGTGCATGAAATAGCACTGTCTTGATAGTCTAGGATTCTGGCTGTCAGACCCCCCTTCCACCGCCACAGCAGAGGACCCCAGTTCTGTGGTTGTGTTCCTCCAGAAGAAACCTTTCACTGTATGGACTGAGACTTGGGGACAGAGCCGGGCTGGAAAAGGGCAGAGATGGAAATGCCTGGTGGGATTATCATTATTGGGTGTAAACTGTCAACTCTATGAACCAATAGGAAATCCCAAAAAGGAAAACAAAAAACTCATCTTTCCACTACCTGGCGTGTGTGAGCCAAGTCTGACCCCTGCCGACACCATCTGGAAGTGGACGTCCTGTCACCAAGGCCATCCCAATCCACACCCCACCCACATTCTCTTTTTTACTTCCTCACTGTGTACCTGAAAAGAACAAGCCTGGGCCAGGCACGGTGGCTCAGGCCTGCAATCCCAGCACTTTGGGAGGCAGAGGCGGAGGGATCATGAGGTTAGGAGATCGAGACCATCCTGGCCAACATGGTGAAACCCTGTCTCTACTAAAATACAAAAAATTAGCCTGGCGTGGTGGCACGGGCCTGTAATCCCAGCTACTCAGGAGGCTGAGGCAGGGGAATCGCTTGAACCCAGGAGGTGGAGGTTGCAGTGAGCTGAGATAGCGCCACTGTACTCCAGCCTGGTGACAGAACAAGACTCCGTCTCAAAAAAAAAAAAAAAAGGAAAGAGAAACAAACAAGCCTGAAAGGGAACTCTACGGGCATCCCTGAGGCTGAGCAGATGGCAACGTTGCTTTGTTGCTTAATGTTCCCCTCCAAGACCCGGCTCTTTGGAAAGCTGGAGAGTCGTGAGAAGGGCGTGGAGCCAGCCTCAAGCTGGGCCACCAAGGAGCCAAAAACCTAAGCCAGTGCCTGTCTCTAGGCTGCAGCCTGGGATGCTGAAGAGCTTGGGGACAGGCCTGGGGCCACCAAGCCAGACACTGCCCCTGGGAAACACTGCTGTGCTCAGAAGAAGAAAGAGCCATCATAACTGTCCACCAAAGTACATCTTATTCTAGAACCAAATCTGAGATTTTTTTAGATGTGATTCATATTGGTGCATGTTATGGGCTGAGTTGTATGCGCCGCTCCCATCCCCCGACCTCAAATTCAACCAGCCAACAATTCGGCAAGGATCAGAGGTTGCAAGAAAGGAAAATGGCGGCATCAAGGACACAGCTGCAAATCCCAAGATGCCCTTGGTGCCTGGGAGAGGCTGGGAAGGAACTTAGGGCTGGATTGCCCACAGGACTTGGTGAGACCCACTGCCATGGGCTGAACTGTGTCCCCCTAAAAAGCTATGTTTGAGAGTGATATGGCTTGGCCCTGTGTCCCCACCCAAATCTCATGTTGAATTGTAATCCTCAATGTTGGGGGAAGAACCCTAATCCTAACCCTATAAACATGGTATTACCATATATAAACCTATGGGAAGCACCTGCTCTTACACAGGAACAGCAAATATACTGGAAATCTTAGAGGCCTTCCAGAACTGGGGGTCACCAGAACATGGTGGCTCCCCACCCATCATTCCCAGAGCCAGGGCTTATATAGCACAGGGGAGAGGTGGTTCAGAAGGGCTGCACAGGACAGCTGAAGTACAGTGCCATTGAGGCCGTTTGACCTGAGTTCGGGACCTGTGGTAAGTGCCTGCTCTGCGGTAGGTACCTGCTGTTATGTATGTATATATGGTAAAAGGGGCTGTCATAGCAGTGGGGGAAGGGAGGCGATTCAATCAATGACGCTGGGATAACTGAATCAAATTTGGAGAAAAGAAGGTTGAAATCACCCCTCATACCTTATACCAAAAAAAAAAAATTAACGATTTAAAAATAAAATAAAATAAATCATGAAACTACTAGAAGACACCACGTAAGAATTTCAAAGCATTACCTCACTGCAAGAAAGCCTTTCTAAGCATGACCCAAAATCCAGAACTATAAAAGCAAAAATAGATAAATTCAGCTGAAACAATTTTAAGTTTGCCTTTTAAAGACTATCATAGGCCAGGTGCGGTGGCTCACACCTGTAATCCCAGCACTTTGGGAGGTGGAGACAGGTGGATCACTTGAGGTCAGGAGTTCAAGACCAGCCTGGCCAACACGGTGAAGCCCCATCTCTACTAAAAATACAAAAATTAGCCAGGCGTGGAGGCGCATGGCTGTAATCCCAGCTACTCAGGAGGCTGAGGCAGGAGAATCACCTGAACCTGGGAGGTGGAGGTTGCAGTGAGCTGAGATTACACCACTGCACTCCAGTCTGGGCAGCAGAGCGAGACTCTGTCTCAATTAATTAATTAATTAATTAATTTAAAAAAATAAAAACCATCACAGAGTTAAAATGTAAAATGTAAGCTGGGAAATCTGTGTGCTTCTCAGGCTGCCCAGCTCCAGCTCACCCCCTCCAGGAAGCCCTTCTGGCTGCCAGCCACCTTGCTGCCCCTGACTCCCAGCTCAGGTGTACTCTGCACAATTCATGCCAGTCATGTCTGCCTTGTCCTGTTGTTGCTGTCACTCATCTTTGCCATAGTGACTGTGTGGTTCCCGGCAGCCCCAGATCCAGTGGGAACAGCAACTCGCCTGCCAAGCTTCTCTGCTCCTATAACCCAGGGTTTCCCAGCCTTGGCACTATTGGCACCTTTGTCAGGGGCCGCCCTGTGGATGGTGGGATGCCCAGCAGCATCCCTGGCCC